GTTTTGTAAAACTGGCGCATTTGCTCGAAAGAAAACTAAATCAAGTTGTAGCAGTTATTATTGAAACACAGTTTTGTTAGCTATATTTCTGCAACATTTATTTTTATTTTTTCTTTATGTTAATTATCTCGTTTTTTGTTGTTGAGATCACAATTATAAATATAAAATAAAAAAAAATAGATTAACAAATCTAAAATCATGTAAAGATGATTATAAATTATATACAAAATACAAAATAAAGAATATAATCGTTGTGTTCAATTTTAATAAAATAATTCATTTAATGTTAATAATATTTATATATACCTGAATCGATCCTTTTGAAAGAAGTTCCGCAGCGATACTTTAATTTCGAATTTAGAGATCGGAAATTTTATGTCTATCTGGAACGAAAGCATCTCTTCAGTCAATATGTTAAAAACCAATAAATGTTAATAAAATACACGACGAAAGTTTCACACCACAGAGCAAAGTATAATACGAATTTGTAAAATATAGCAACGGGATATCAATTCGAGATATCAGATCGGGTGCGCAGCGTAAACTGAAGGGAATCTGGAGTTCACGGAGGATCCCACGTCCGTTCGACGCAGTCGCAAAATACGGTGCAGCCGAGCTTCTATCTTTCTCTCTTCATCTCATCATACTTTGCGTCTTTCTCGCTTTATCAGCCTTCTCTCGGAGCGCAAAATCCTGCTTTCCGAGAAAAATAATTAATAGTAAAAGTCTATCGTTTATGCAATACAATCGTATTAACTTTCCGATTAGTATAACTTTAAATTAAATTATGTTTCAAGATAAAAAAACGATAAATCGTATTAGCATAAGTAAGTAACAATATACAAAAGAAGCTTCTTTTTTAAGTAATATCGGAAAGCTTGTACATATCTAAACTGAATCTGAAAAAAATTAACTTTTTCTAAAATATTTTTATTAAAGTAAAGAAAAAAAATTCTATTCAGTTTCTTCAATTTTAGACATTGCAGTCATATCAATTTTTGTACAATTTACGATAACATAAAATTTTACAAGTTTTATAAAACTTTATAATTGTTATAATTATTTTTCATTTTTACTCGCAAAGAAAATAAAGATTATAATTTATATTTTATTTATGTAGAAATATTATTGTATGTAAAATATGAATTTGGTGCATATATAAAAAGAGATTACAATATCGCAAAATATTATAGAAATTATCATTTGATTGAAATGTCAATTTGCAATTACAATCTAGATTATCTTATGCTTTTAGATAAAATTTGTATTCGTAGATCTATTAAATTTATAGTTCTATACGGACAGAAGTTGGAATATATGCATATTATCTTTTATGTGTATCGATCATTTTGATTCATGTCATATACACATACATAGCTATAAAGCATTTTTAGTATATTATAGTACTCAAAAAGTATTTTTTGTCCAGATTTTGTTTAAAGTTTTATTTAGATAGTTTAAATTAGTGTGTTTTTCGGACAGAGTTAAATTAATAAGAGATCACATTATTTATCAATTAATATAAACTGCATTTTATTTCAGATAAATCCTCGACGATTTTTTCAGTAAGCCTACTTGTCGAATAATCGTCCGTATCGTCGATAATAAATTATTCGTATTTAGGCTCTGCAATCGTAGTTTTCTCCTGAGTCCCTTACGTCGAGGGACGTCGGCAAAGATATTCTAGAAACGCGATCAGCTGTCGCTAAACTACTGCTCTCGGCCGTTTGGCGTTCCGTTTGCGAATCCACTTGGAATTCAATTAGAATTCCCATGGTAAGTGAAACAGCTAACGGACCAGTCGTACCTCCAGTCCTCGTGCACTTATACTTTCCCAGTATCGTCGCCAATTTTTTTTCTTTCAGTCACAATCTTTCAAGTGCAGAATATCAAAGCGGGTCGCGTTTTCTTCGTTGCTTTATTTTGCAAACGCGTACGCCAGTGTTTTTACGTTCCTGGTTTTCCGAATGTCCTGGTTTTCAAATTTAGTTCAAGATTCCTTTGATTACTCGTGATTGATTACTTACACGTTGAACTACCATTGAAAAACAGACGAGAATAGGAGCGACAGGACGTGAAGGCAAATGATGCGTAGGTACATTTCTTTTTCACGAATTTTTTCATTGATAATATTTATTTTTATGCTAGAAAATATTTTCCGAGCTTTTTTTTTAACGAGATTAATCAATAATTATATATATTGAATCTGCGTAATTGATCGGTGCGAATTTCGATATCCTTTTTCCGTGGAAAATAATAATTTAAAAGAATATATAGATTTTGATTAAAGCAGTTTTATTTCAACTAGATTTGGAATCGATTCGTTCGCTGTATATGAAAATGGTCAATGTTTAACAAATTTAGATAGACATGCTGTACGTTTCAATACAGTATCGGCATTTGAAGTAAATTCCGTATCGGAATTTCAGTCTAAATATATTTTGCCTTTTATATACGTATTTACGATGAATAAATGTAATTATGTGCTCAAATACATTTCTAGAAAAAAATTGATAGCTTTAAACTAGCATAAAATCCTTCATTATATTATAAACTGGCAATGATCGCGTTGCAATTGTATTAAATGAAATATTTGCGTTTTATCAAATGTATACGTAGCTATTTCATAAGAAAAAATAGGATTGATTTCGTTAAATATCTTTTATGTCATGATAATTTGTTTGAGGAACAAGTGCGACAACTGAAGTGTATTATCATAGTTTGAGCAAAAAGTAAAAGGATTTTGATGAGTTATTTGCGGATCGTTACGCCCATTTGGTTCGGATAGACACGGGTATAAAACAAACAAGGCATTTTAGTTGCGGCCTGAACGGCGTATCGACGTAAGATGTAGTGTATACTTTGTTTTATTCCAATAACGATATACTCTATGAAAGTTAACAAGAACATGCTGTTCGCACAATCAGCTCAGTATCAATGAAATGAAAGAGAAGTGCTAAATGATATCTTTCATTATATCAATTTTTCCGACATAAATAAAATTTTCTTCTCAACAATTGTCCTAATAGAAAATTTGCACACATATCGTACATTATTCGAGAAAATGTTTCTATGTTTTATCTAAATTATTATTTAATTACTATTTAAATAGTTACTTAAAAGATTGTATGTAATATCTTTAAAGAAATATTTAAAAAGATTTTTACACAATTTTGATAAACGATTTACAGTTCTGATTAATGTTTTATTTTAAACATTAAAAAATATAATATACATTTTGTAGTTAAATTTTCTTGAAGAGATGTGTTATTTAGCGACGCTTAAGATTGCAAATGCTGGCTCGCTTAAATGTGAAACAAACCATAATGTGCTATTTACTTAACTTGTGAGACCTTGCAGTCAAAGCGTCGAGAAATTGAGAACGTAGGATGCATTAACGTACTGTCTCACCTCAGATTTATTACATGTGAAAAGCCAGAGGGCAACAAGTTTGAACAACTTTTCCATAGAAGTGTACTTTGAGTTACGTTTACGATATGCTCCTTCGTGAAATGTTAAAACAGATGTTACTCGTTATTCATTCCAATGCGTTAACATTCGTTTTAAAATTGATTGTGGAATTAAACATTGTTATCAATTTACTTACAGTATATAATTCTGAATCAATCTATAATTAGGCGAGTTATTAAATTTTCCCTATCAAACGCTTAATCCTAAATTAATCAAAGCTTCTGTGACTATAAAAAATAATATATTAGCAGCGATACTCCTCTTCTTCTATAACATCAACATACAAACGATTAATTAATGGATAAATCATAACTTACAGATCATAAGATCATGACGTTCGTGTTACAAGAAAATTCACTTAAATAATAAATATATAATGTCTAAATTCTTATATATCGAAAAAAGATAAAAAAAGCGTAAAAAACAGTATATGCGACGATGTTCGATTATATTCTCTAAAAATCTTTTTGGTGTAATATTGCTAAGTTCATATATATGTATATATTATATGTACGTATATATACAGGGTGAATACCAAGTAATGTAAAAGATTTTGAGGGGTGACACTCTCACACAAATTCAAAACTGCATATGACGATATGTCCGAAATGGCTTAGTTTTATATAAGGTCAAGGTTAAAGAAAAAATTTCGCTTTTTCCCAAAAATTTCAAAAACCCCTCGGGTTATTTTGATGAAGCTTTGTGTATGTTTCATCAAAATAACCTGATTGGTTTTCGAAATTTTTCTTTCAACTTTAACACTCTGTATCTTCGAAACTAAACCGTTTCGGACATATGGTCATATGAAGAGTTTTTTGTCTTGAATTTATGTGATTACTCCTGAAAATCTTTTATATTACTTAGCATCCACCCTGTATATACATATATAATATCAGCTGGAATGGAAACGAAATAAAAAGAAATTGAAAAATCTTTCTTATTGGATTCGCATGCTACCTCACGCTTTTAGCAGAGAGCACTTTTATAAATTGTTCATTTTTGCTAGTTTTGTTTTAATGTATGCAAATATTTCATAAACTCGAGGTGGCATTTCATTACTAGAAAATAAACGAAATTATGAAATGTAAAATAAATCATGCATATTAAAATTCAAGCCGTAATATGGTTGAACAAATTCTTTGTTTTCATAGCATATTTTCGTTCTTTCCTTTTATAGCATTTCCTCTTTTAAATTCCTCTTAGCTATTTTAACAAAGGGATTCTACCGCATTGAATATGTTATCGCTTCCAATCATTTATAAAATCTGTTTCACAGAGGAAAACACGAGCTAAAATATTCATTAGATAAAAGCATGCATTTTTTGTGTAACTGAAGAATTTATAATTGAATTTTTTCAGCTTACATCCTTTTATATTTTCTATATGCATTATTAATCTGCAATATTTAATCTGCAGAATCTTAGAGATTTTAATGTTACATTCCCTTAAAAATATCTTTTAATTTTCTTAAAAAATTAAAAAATGTTCTTAATTTTACAAAGTTCCGTCTCATTGTAATATTTCATATTAAAATTCACAATTTATTATAATCTCATAATAATTAGGGATCACATATACATTTCCGTCTAAATCTTATTTTTTTTAAAGCAAAATAGTCTACTTTTATGATCATGTAACGTTTTTCAATTCTGTATCCTTCACACAATGATTAATCTGTTTAATTGCAATTACTAATGTCCTTTCTAATCAAAATTAAAAAAATAAAAGATCTTTTATATCTCGTACATTTGCACGAGTTGTGTATGTGCTATGTTTCTATATTTAATTAGATACCTTGGTTATATCGTCAGTAAAAGTATAAAAAAAAGATACAGCAATAAAGATTGCGGAGTTTTCTCTCTTGGAAGAACATCCTATTTGCGTCGACTTCTTTACGTCTCGAGATCCTATGACCTGAACGTAGCACGACCATATACGTCCAGTATACATAGCAGTGCTCTATCTTTCGCTTTTTATCACTACATAACCATGAAAACTCACGTTTTAGTTTTGCCCATAGTTTAAAGTGACAGGAAGTCGGACTTACTGAAATATCAATTTGTATGTGTCAGATCCTGTGTGCTGACGGCGTATAATAGCACTTCATAAAAGTTTATCTCGAAAATAAATCAGCACAAAATGTGTCACGTAAATCTGGCAAAATAGATACATATCACTCGTTAAATTAAACGTTATTATTTCGACAGATTTAAATTTGATTGGTTTATTATTCACCAGAGAACAACAAAGACGTTTATGACATCTCTTAGCATGCGTGTTGAGTCTGGATATGTCTACAAGTTTTTTTTCAGTTCGTACATATTTGAAGACGTACTACGTCTCTAAATACGTGATGTTCATATCTTTTTTGAAAATTTAAAAACTATTTCACGCACTATTCTAATCGAGATTTTAATATTATATATATTAATAAATTTAGTCAAATTAAAAAATAATTAATTATCTTACTTTTTTATTAATTCTCGCTGGAGAAGATTTTATGAAATTTAATAATTTTATTAACGAGTTAATAATTAAAAAATTAAAGTGATAAATAATCTAATTATATCTTTACGGAAGAAAAATTGATTTAAAGGA